TTCAAAGTGGAGTCGTTGAGGTGGCTTAGCTCAAATGCCATGGAGGCAATCTCTTCGGGGCCTAAAAGGCTGGCAATGGCGGAGGAAGTTCCAAAACTTGCATTCCTAGAATGTTGGATGTTTCCGTGGACAATGGAGGCCTGGCGATGGTGTCCGTAGGAGTTTGATGGTCGTCGCTCAAGCACTTCACCTTCTAGACTCGCGGCTGATCGCGCACCAGCTGATTCGGGGCTTTTCGAGTGCGACCGAGTCCGCAGCCGTGACTTAGGTTGTAGCGATTGAAGGGAAACGGGAGAGGGATCGGAAGGTCTCCCGCGGGTAGAAGAAGGGTCTCTGATATGGGATATCATATGGGGAGGGTTTCTCGACACCAGACGATCCGACGAGGAGGAATGAAGGTTTGGTTGGGAGCTGGTCATCATGGGATCATTTAGTCTGTAGGGAAACGACTGACCGCCACCATTGGGTAGAACTAGGTGAGGACTAGCTGCAGAATTGTTAGAGATAGCGAAAATAAGCGTTTCACGATAAGGGAGAAGTTTGGGGAAGGGCGCAGAAAAATCTTGAATCATCCTGATCATACAGCAATGACACAGGGAGAGGAGGCATAGATCAGAAAGCAGTTGAGAGCTTATATCGCAAACTCCGGGGGTCAGGGTGCTTGCTTGGCAAAGGACCTTCGAAACTTACAGGTGTGCTGCATTTTCAACAGCCTCCTCTTGGAACGAGGAGAGGAGAGAAGGACAGGACGGTATCTCCTCGCATCGTCGATTTGCAGGCCATTCCAAGAACGAGGGATTTGTGCAGCCAGTTGGGATGGTAGTCTTGCTGAGATTAGGGGGGAGGGTCGTAAATAAGTAGAAGTTGTCTGAGGGTCGTTCCGAGGAGGTGGAGAAGGAGGTTTGGATATCGAAGCGCAGAACTCTTGGCTGCTGACTGACTAATAAGCAATTAGATAACTAACTAGTTAGTTAGTTAACTATTAACTAACTACTAACTAACTAGTTATCGAAGTTAGCTGGTTTGCCAGGGACCACATAACCAGCGGGAGCCAGCCACTGACAAACCAACACCCCAAGGGAGTTAGACACACCAACAACCATGGACCTGGCTACGCTACTCTGAAAGCATCCATCATCTTTGACATTCAGACATTGTTTAGATACTGGCTATTATTATTTATAGAAGAATTCTCTGTCAAGGCTCATGCATGCTCTTGTCATTTAACATTATTCTTATTCTTCTTGCAACAATGAAAGAAGAAACTTTGCTGTTGCTGTTGTCCAACTTGAATGTTCCTACATAACTCAACCACCACACAGTTCTCGAGATACGAAACAAAAACGACACCCACCCCCAGCGATTGGTGAGCTTGTGGGCTTCTTAAAACATCCACAAGTGTGATGGCTGTTTCTCTACCCGCCATCCCCCAAGTCCATCCCATACACTTTCACAATCACAAGCTCACTCATGTTCTTGGAGCTAAAACAGGTAAGTTTTCTGAAATTCAGCCCCGTCTGCACAGAGCGAGAACTTCCTCGATCTAAGCGCTGGCATCTATGTGGCAAAAATCCAATGCAGTTGATTTCTTGAAAAGCGCCTGGAAACAGCGAATGACCATCTCCGGCAACATCATCCGCTAATTGAGAACCACTACTGGACCACACGCCTTTGGCCAGTCCGCTGCTTTCTTCTCAACAGGAGTCCATAAACAGTGTTTGAAATTCCACCGGAGACACGAGGAAAATGAATCGTTGAAACCCCTGGCGCCTTTTACAATCATTATCCAATGTGGGTTTATCCTCCATATCACCATGAAGCTACAGCAAATCGCAAGGTCAAACAGTTATGTTTCTCCCAGACAGTCGTCATGCATATTTATCATTGTTTGCTATTTCAAGGCACATGACTTGAAACTGCGGGGTCTGAAAAACAAAACGAAAGAACGATATCTAGATATTAAACAAGACATCTGTACTTTGTTTTCATACAGTTATGCACCAGGACACTATTAATTATATTCATCCCTGCAATTACTTTACCGGTTAATAACCCGCAAGAGCCAATTCTCAGGCACGCAGTCTACAGTGCTCCATGATTAGCTAAAGATGGATCGACGGCGGGATATATGTATGTGAAGTGGTGGTATATAATTAAAGACCCTGCCATCTTAAGAATTCGAAGAAAAAAATTAAAATTAAAATTAAAATTAAAAAATAAAAGAAAAGAAAAGAAAAGAAGAAGAAGAAGAAGAAGATAATGCACTACCTGACAGCCATGGCATTGGTTGCTCAATCTAGGCGACAGAAAAGAAAAAAAAAAGGATGATGATGATAATGCACTACCTGACAGCCATGGTATTGGTTGCTCAAATTAGGCGAAATAACATGTTTTACATGCCCATCACTTTGAAAACGTTGGCATAGTTTGAAACAACACATGATGGAAAATTTTCTGGGATCCAGTCAGCAAAGGGGGTTAGTTTCTCAACCTCCACCATCATCTCCATAGAAAAATCCATGGTTCATAGAGCGCTTCAAGTCCCGACGTCACGGTGTAGCTATTGCAGTTTGCCGCTTAAACCAATCTTCCACCAATTCCATCTTCTCTTCCAGACCTTTGGTGTATTGAGGACTCAATCGCCCCCGTTGGAGGCCGGATCTCAAGGAACAAAGCAAAAGAATTTCGCCAATCCTCACTATCTCAAAGCTTTCAACATTGAGCTGGCTGGCTCCCTCACACCCCGCCTTCGACATGGTAAAATCGACGGATCGACGATCGGAAGATTCAGGTAACCACGGCACATTCATCAGGGTTCATTTTCTCTCTTTCAGCCGAGAAGCTCCCGCGGTGCTGTGGCTAAGAGCTCCCATGCATGTTGTAATACTGTAGCGGTGAGGGAACTGGCTTCATCATGGGCTTATTTGCGTCGCAATCACATGTTTTGTATCTGATTCCGGCGCGATGACCTTCCTCCTGGGTTTGTCCTTGGTCAAATTGTCATAGAGCGTATGACGCATGTCCGCGCTCACAACCACGATTCCATGCAGGAATATATATTTTGCCCACGGATGTTCCGTAGATCGGGACGAAACCGGCAAATTCCGTAAGAAAATACCCGCTCCCGGATTGGATATGACTCAGAACGGCGCGGAGTTGACGACACAACGGATCGCCGTTCATGTCTATCATCGTCGCCTGCATACTGCATACCTAGCTACCCAGCTCATCTTGACAGATCTTATTTAAAACAGCAGCCCCTGTGTCGAATGCAGGAACTGTGACTCCGGATATATCGATCGCTATTCCTCCTGTTTTCCCGCAAATAGAAATGGGTGCATCAATCGGGAATTTCTGTTCTTCCTGCCGAAGGATAGATGCCCTGCCAGCTGTAGATCGTGGATTGAAATGCCACGGGTTAAGCTGCTGTGAATGTTCAGGTTCTGCCGGTTACATCCTGGTTTCCAGGATTAAAAGCAGGTAACCAACTATATCTTATCAATCAAGATCTCCCCCCCCCCCCCCCCCCCCTTTTTTTTTTTTTTTTTTTTTTTTTTTTTTTTTTTTTTTTTTTTTCTCAGTTAGAGAGTTGTGTGGTGGATTAAATATACGTATCTCTTTGGGATGTCTTTTTTCTTTTCCTTTCCTCATTTAGAGATGCGGAATGAACCTAATAATATCTTCGATTTCTAATCGCCAGTTTTTTGGAACCAAGGCCTGTCAGCAAAATACAGCAGATCTCTCCGGGAGGTGAGATGATGTGCACACTTGTACAGAGCAGTTTACAATAATATATACATAGGGGGTGGATATTCAAAAATGAAATTATGGCACATGTCCAGTGTAGATGTTTAGGAGTTTTCTCCGGTGTAGGTGTGCATGGTTCTGCAAGGCCTCTCTGGGTTTGGTTGCATTGATGCAAATAGATAGATTATTCTGAGAATAATGAAGAATAAAAGGCAGAATAATAGTGACCTACAGTATAAACTAACTAGTACTAAGCAGTTAACTATAACTAGTTAGTTATCTAGGAGGGCCTTAAGATCTTAATAAGCTTTAACTTTGGCCGGGCCCGCTACCAGGACAGCTGAATGGAGGTCAAATATCAGTCTGCCTAAATTCATCCCTGTCGGATCCTATTACGATCATGATGCCCTTCGGAACTTGGACACATACATCCAAGGGATGATTAGCTCTTGATGAAAGATTTCAGACCGAGTACTCCGTTCTGTGTCCTCCGTTCTTCGTCCTGATGGATGGGTAACTATGATTGAACAGTGCAACAAGAGAAGAGGCAAACTGCGAACTGAACCAGCAGCAAACAGCAGCATTGAAAGGGGTATTCCCATACATACATAACTTTCCTCCAGAAATAATTCAATAAGAATAAGAATAAGATTGTATAACCTGTAGAGCTTTCTTACATGGGCTTGTCAGTTGGAACAGGCCACTTTTTAACCGTCGCCGTCAGCCGAATCCGAGCCAACGGGTTGAATCAACTCTCGCCTCTCACATCCACTCTCATCCACACACTCACTCTCATCCCTTCACTTGGTCTTCTTTTCCCTCTTTTCCTCATCAAGATTCAAGATACCGTGTCCATTTGGCCAAATATACACCCCCATTTGCTCACAGCCAGCCCCCACTCACGTAGTTAAGTGGTGTCGCCAATCTTCCCGCCGATTCCCGCTTCTCCCCCATAGGATTCCCTCACGGCACAAAACAAGCCAGCTAGGAATATTGGCTGCCTCCTGGCTTATTGTCCTTCTTTTTTCCTTTCTGTTTTACCGGTACGTTGTTCATTTTATGGTTTTATGCTCTTTGTTGTAAATCCTTCTCTTTTCAAATTTTCTTGGTTTGGTGTTCGGCTGACACTTCTCGTTGCTCAGGAACTCAACTCAAATCCGCGTGGTCTCTATTCGGCCTCCAACCTTTCTCAACCGCACCGCATCGCACACCTGTATTCGCTCCCCAACGGGCTATCGTCCACACTCTTTGCCATGACCCAGGTCGACACCTTGGACCTGGTGGTCCTGGTCGTAATTCTTGTGGGTAGCGTCGCCTATTTTACTAAGGGCTCTTTATGGGGTGTTGTTAAGGACTCCTATGCGACAGCTTATGCGAACGCAAATGGCGCAAAGGCCGGGGCATCAAGAGACATCATCGAGAAACTAGACGAGACTGGAAAAAATTGTGTGATCTTCTACGGTTCCCAGACCGGAACCGCGGAGGACTATGCCTCGCGGTTGGCCAAGGAGGGCTCCCAACGATTTGGCCTCAAAACCATGGTGGCCGATTTAGAAGATTATGATTACGAGAATCTCGACAAGTTCCCAGAGGATAAGGTCATGTTTTTTGTGCTCGCGACTTACGGTGAGGGTGAGCCCACGGATAACGCTGTGGATTTCTATCAGTTCATCACTTCAGACGACGTTTCGTTCGAAGGTGGTGGAACGCCTGACGATAAGCCTCTTTCCTCCATTAGATATGTCGCCTTTGGCCTGGGAAACAACACCTATGAGCATTACAACTCCATGGTGAGAAATGTCGATGCTACGATGAAGAAGCTCGGCGCCAAACGAATTGGGGAGGCTGGTGAAGGGGATGATGGTGCAGGTACCATGGAAGAGGATTATCTGGCCTGGAAAGAGCCCATGTGGAAAGCTCTGGTAGAGGAAATGGGGCTGGAGGAACGGGAAGCTGTTTACGAACCCGTATTCTCAGTTATCGAGGAACCGGAAACCTCCCCTGAAGCCGACCATGTCTATCTGGGCGAACCAAACCAGAATCACCTCCAGGGCCAGCAAAGAGGACCATACTTCGCGCACAACCCGTTTATCGCCCCTATCGTCGAGTCTCGTGAATTATTTACCATCAAGGACCGCAACTGCCTTCACATGGAGATTAATGTTGAGGGCAGCAACCTGTCTTACCAAACCGGCGACCACGTTGCCGTCTGGCCTACCAACCCTGGAGCGGAGGTAGACCGATTCGCATCCGTTTTCGGCATCGCAGACAAGCGTGACATGGTTATCACAATCAAAGCTCTAGACGTCACTGCAAAAGTCCCCTTCCCAACCCCTACCACTTACGACGCCGTCATGAGATATCACATGGAAATCTGCGGCCCCGTCTCCCGCCAATTCATGTCCTCTCTTGTCCCATTCGCCCCCGACGAGGCCTCTCGCACCGAAATGAAACGCCTAGGAAGTGACAAGGACTACTTCCAAGAAAAGATCGCCAGCCAATACATGAACATCGCCCAGGCACTACAATCCGTTACGCCGCTCCCATTTACCTCCGTCCCCTTCTCCCTGTTAATCGAAGGCATCCCCAAAATCCAACCGCGCTACTACTCCATCTCCTCCTCCTCCCTCGTCCAAAAGAACAAAATCAGCATCACCGTCGTTGTCGAATCCCTACGCATCCCCGGCGCAACTCACAACCTCAAGGGCGTCACAACAAACTACCTGCTCGCCTTGAAGCAGAAACAACACGGCGACCCCAATCCGGACCCGCACGGATTGACATATGCCATCAACGGGCCCAGAAACAAGTACGACGGCATCCACGTCCCCATCCACGTGCGGCATTCCAACTTTAAACTCCCCTCCGACCCAGCCAAGCCGGTCATTATGGTCGGGCCGGGAACGGGTGTTGCGCCGTTCCGCGGGTTTATACAGGAGCGCGCGGCGCAGGCGGAGAGGGGGGATAAGGTGGGGCCCACGATTTTGTTCTATGGATGTCGACGACGGGAGAAGGATTTCCTGTATAAAGATGAGTGGGATGTATGTATTTTGTTATTTTCTAGATCTCTTAACTTCCATACCTCTTATCATCCCACCCTCACCCCCGCCCCCACCATCTTCTATCCTTTCCTCCTCTTCTCACCCTTAAAACACTCTATATCTCTATCCTTGCTAACAACCACCACTGCTAAATTCCCTCATATCAGACCTTCGCCTCAAAACTCGGCTCAAGCCTGCAAATCATCACCGCCTTCTCGCGCGAAACCTCGCAAAAAGTCT